CTGGACAGAAATGTTTTTCCCTGTTTTTTTTATTTGAGTAAAATTAAAAAAGAGTATGTTTTTCAAACGTGTTTTGAATATTCATTGAGCAATCATCAACAACTGAGTTCAGAAATAATTATACTAGGGCTAACACAGAGATGTAGGTTCATTGTACCTGTGTAAGTATAAACAGTCTCACACACAGGTAATATACTCAGTCACACTATACAGGTATATAGTCTATACACTCAAACTATGGAACAAAAGTAATGCTTTACAACATTCATTTTCAACAAAACAAAGTCACAGAATCCTACAGATGTTTGAAATTTACCTCAAAATGGTCCAGGAAGCAGAAATCTTCACAGGTGTCATCTTGCTAACAAACACAGATACACATTTGGGTTCAAAGGGCACCTGTCATATCCATGTCATAATCCATGCAACCACATCATCACTGTGTATGTATACTTCTGAAAAGTGGACAGCAAAACAAAGCACTAGTAGGTATAAAGTCTCAGGTGAAAAATCATTATGTGTCGTTAAATATCAGAGGTAATGATCCTGCCTGTAGCACAACACAGTCTATATTTAGACACCAACATAAATCCAGATTTTTTTTTACACCTGAATGAACAGGTTGATAATACACCTTGCGAAATCTCCGATGTTAGGTGTAATACAGCCGGAATGTTAAGTGATATGTTAATATTAGATCCAGATATGAAATACATAAAAATGCGGACTTTATTTTATTCCGACTGTCACATGGCCTATATATGAGTCCTAAATGCCATCACGATAGTTGAGATTCGTGCCCGTCCCATCACAAGGTAGCGCTGACATAATCTCTGTATCCACAGATGTAAACAAAGGTGTAAAACTCATGGAACAATATGTCAACAATGCACCAGTAAACAGGTAGTACACACCTTTGCCACGGTCAGCTTTAAGCTATCAGATGACGGGGTAAATCCATTGTGTATATACACATACAGTGATACACCTAACCCTTATTCATCTCAATACTTCGACAGTCAGTATTCTAATTTAATATTTCTTTTATCTTGTTTAAACATATATGCAAAACATATTTGTTCTACACAGAATGTAGATCTTTGCATATTGTTGATTATTTTCCAAATAAAACAATATTTTGCTTGGCAATGTTGAAAACTTAACTTCACAAAGAAAAAAATTAGGAAAAAGAGAGTATGAGAGTGACCGCAGTATTGTGTGTATATTTCAGTACTTTACAAGTTGACACTTACATGATGGTCAAACATTTCCATTCTGTGTTTATAAAACATTAAATGTGTAATTACACCTCCAATAAAATTGTGGCAGGTGTGAATTAGCTTACTGGTCGATTCCCTGTAAATATGTTTGACCACAAGCTGTGGTAAACGGTCAGTGTTAAAGGTTTTACCTGATTACTGTACACGTAGTAGGTCATTGCATTGTTAGCTTAAATGTGGCAGATTTCTCAAAAAATACAGACTGCAGACATACAAAAACATTCAAATTAGCCTTGTCTATGACACATCATTCTGACTGCACCTTATATATATATCTATATAAAGAATACTTTGAATTTTCATATACAAAATAAAAATGTGTGTAAAGACTTAACACTTTTAACCTTTCGAAATATGTGACCATTTTATCGTTCGAGCTCCAAAACTGATTATAACATAACCTACCTTTGATATTAGTTTGGAATAGACATAGCTTAAAGACTAAAGTTTGAAGTCTTTCGAGCGACAGTACCTAATACGGTTGGAATAGACATAGCTTAAAGACTAACGTTTGGGCCCCACAGTGACATTACCTAATAAGTTTGAAATAGATATAGCTTAAAGAATCAAGTTTGGGGCCTTCCCAGTGACAGTACCTAATAATTTTGGAATAGATATAGCTTAAAGACTAATGTTTGGGCCTATCAGTGACATTACCTAATAAGTTTGGATTAGATATAGCTTAGAGACTAACGTTTGGAGTCTTTCCAGTGGCAATACTTAATAAGTTTGAAATAGATATAGCTTAAAGACTAACGTTTGGGCCTCTCAGTAACATTACCTATTAAGTTTGAAATAGATATAGCTTAAAGTCTAAAGTTTGGGTCTTCCCAGTGACAGTACCTAATAAGTTTGGAATAGATATAGCTTAAAGACTAAATTAGGAATTTTACCAGTGACAATACCTAATACATTTGGAATAGGTATAGCTTAAAGTCTAACGTTTGGGCCTCTCAGTGACATTACCTAAAAAGTTTGGAATAGATATAGCTTACAGAATCAAGTTTGGAGTCTTCCCAGTGACATTACCTAATAAGTTTGGAATAGATTTAGCTTAATAACTAAAGTTTGGAGTCTTCATAGTTTATTTATGTGTACCATGCTTTATACATGTATCTTTGTATTAATATGTGGACTAATATGCAGTGATTGAACCTGTTTTACAGACATATAGAATATGACATAGGAAGCATGTATGGCTTGTTGACAAGAAAAAAGGATAGTTTGCCTGCTGTGTTAAGAATTTTCAATCAGATATGTTTGGCAATAAAGAAATTATTGACTGGTATTTTAAACAGCAACAAGGAAATCAATATATTTTGTGTCCTACATTCTTCATATCAAAGTTGATACATAAATGTAGTACATGCAACAGATGGCATATTAAGTAATATCTTGACCTTATGACCTTCAAACAAAATTATAAGTACCTAATACAAATGAATATTGTTCCATTCATGACTCTTTAAATATGCATGAAAACAAGTGAACAGGGAACCTGTACCTTACAGAAACTCTTTACTGAGTTAAGTGCCTTGTGAACAGTCAGGGTCTCTTTGAAATAAGGTCTCCATACAGTGGCTGGTAGATACTTTGCTGAAATGCATACCGGAGGCCTGTCATATGTCATCCAGAGCAACTGGGGTAAAACACCTTGCACAAAGACATGTCAAATACAGCACAGGCCATATGAGAGAAAAGGGCCCCATTAGTATATATATTGTACATTGTTAGCAATATTCATGGGATATTTAATTTCACTATGTTTGCAGTCATTTAAGAATGTGTGAAATTGAATACCAAGCAAATATTTTGATAGAGAATCATAATTTAATATGCGTTTCGGCCTGGATACCAGTGTGTAGAAATGCTTTTAGTGTTTACAGCTAATTATGGAATAGTTCCTGTGAACTAGTCATAAACGTGCTAAATATTGGTACCATGAAATTGAGCAACTCTACAGTAGTTTTAACTATATATACCACTTAATCATAACAACATCTATATGAGTATCTTAATAATATATTCCATCATCTGCAATCAAGTAAATCTCATGTTACAACAAGAGTTCCTTGGTACTGTATGTGTATAAAGTGTAACTGTCACCCAGAAATTGAACTGGATGTGCAACGATCAACCATAAAGTTGGAATACCAAATTTCATTTCTATAACTTGAAGCATACCAAAGAAAGTCAAGAAAACAATATTCCCAGAAAATTTTCTAAGTTCAAAGGGGCATAACTCTGCCAAAAAGGGTCACAGACAGCCAGGAATCAAACTTAATCTGTACCCTTGCAACAAAATGCCATATGATAAATTTCATTTTGATAACTCAAAGCATTACTGAAAAAAGTCTGGAAATCTTTTGTACGGACTATGCCGACGACTACGCCACCGCCGACGACGACGCATGACGACGGACAAAGTGATCCCTAAGTGTCCGCCAGCTCTGCAGGTGACACAAAAATCATTTAAAAAGCGATTTCTGACATATAAAAAGGACTTTGATCATCTATAGATAAAATATAAAACTACATAAATCAGGACTCCACATACATAATGTAATTAAAACATAACACATTCCACTTTTATTTAATGATTTATTTTTTCATAAGAGATATTAATTAATATCAATCAATGACAAGATTGGGGTGCCCTATATGTTAGGGTTAGTCTTCATTCAATAGTAAAAGCAAAAAAGTTGTCCACATATGGCCATATCACCTGAATCATTCCGTTCTGATCTAATCCTTTCTTTCATTCTTACTGCAGTTGATCAGATCTATTTCTTCACCATAATGTATATTAACATGATATATCACATAGCAGTTGCATTGACAAGTATGTATTGTATAGTTGGTAATACTCACAGGATATTGTTATATCATGGTCAATTAAAGATAGTAGGAAATTCAGTGCTCACCAAACATATTTACACTGAATCAAAATCTTGTATGTAATTGTCTCTAAAGGAGAAACTATGTATAGACATGCACAAAATTTAATTCCGATGAACTAGCCTGCCCCAGAACTGCGAAACATTAGCCCCACAAAATCAACAGTATCCATGGTTCATACTGATATTGTTATCACATAGCACACGAGTGTATAACATATACCAGAAACTGTAATATATAGTACCTTGTTAACCTATGTTAAAATGGATGATCAAATCCTGTAGTCACAGATTCCTTAAAATTTACTTGATAACTAATATTGGAATGGAAAACACAAACACAATATTCTTAAAATTTGTATCTATGATATAATATTGATAGTTAAAAGTTTCTTTAAAAGTTTCTTGTTAATTCAATTTTTTTATATAAACTACAATTAACTAGGATAAAAATGGCAGCATTGATGGAAATCATCTGTCATATACTGTATCACTTAAGGCAACATTCAAATATCAAATCATCACTTTTCTTGTCTGTGTGTATTGAAAAACCAAATTTGAAATAATTCACTCGAACTCATGGCAGGTCCAATTGCATCAAAGTTAAGACTACTTTAGACCCTAAAAAGACATCAAGCTTTCAAACAAACAAACAAAAATATTGCATATGTCTCTTTTCGGTCTCTGTGACTAAGTAAGATCCCCATATTTTCTCTTCGTCTGAAATGATCTCATCCTATCCATGATCTTCTGGAACAAAAATCACCATATATACATTTGATCAATTCAAAATAAAAAGCAAAATATGTAACAAAATTGGTGGACAAGAACAACAAGAAAATGTTGCAGAGTGAACAAAATTATAATCGTAATACAAATGATCTTTCTATCTATGATGAATTATCAACAGAGGAGTTACGAGGTACAAATATACCTTGCATATATATATTGTAAATACAGGTAAGAACACACTGCCAAATATATCCTCAGTCATCTGGGATTGTATGTTTTTCAGATATGGACAAGTGAACTCTTCTTTAATTGAAGCATGGAATGACAAACCCTTCTTTCCTAATTGGCAACTCTGTTGTGCAGAGGATGAAAAAAGGCTGAAGCACATTAAGGTTCCCTAATGTGTGCATTTATGTTTTTTCTTCGAGTGGTCTCCCTTTGCACAATGTACCAATCAGTTACACAAACTAGATCAGTGCTCAGTGACAGTAATTCTCTGTTTTTTATTACTTAATTGCCATATTAAACCAATATTTTAGTCTGTACAAACATGAAATTGAGTAGAAGACTTTGGCATAAAGATGTCGCATACGCCCTTAACATCAATAAACAATATACATGTATGTTACAAATTTTCAGTGAGCAGAGAATGTGGCTGGAATGCTGTAGTTACATGTGGATATACACAATTATCATTGATACTCAAATTTTATCACTTTTGAATTTTTCATGAATACAACATCAAAATTTTTAATTGAATTAGTCCAGAAAGCATAATCAAACTCCTTCTTGCTACACAACAAGTCACAAATGTTGGTAATTAGTCCTTCAAATACTTGATAATTCTATTTTCTATATTGCACCATACCATTGCACCTGAATTACAGGATGGCCAACCAGCTTTAACCTTATGTGGTTGTATGCTGGAGAAATACTAATCAAATTATGGTGTTTTAAAGGTAAAACAGAAAAAGCTATTATAATGATAAATCAACATATATGTCTCTACCTGTAAAATTCCATGAAAGTCAGAATTCTTCACATTGCAGCAAGTAATGAAAATAGCGAACAATAATTACCATTAGAATGTTTGTATTCAGTTTTGTATAAAGTAAACAAAATTCAACAATAAATAAAAAAGCACCTTTAAGAAAAACATGTGAAAAAGTAATTTTAAACACTGTATTTTGATCAAAGACGATAAGAAATATGGGTGGTTTTTTTTTTTTTGCTTTCAAACTGGAAATGCATCATTTACTACAGGCAGCACTGGACATAATATATATATATATACACACATAATTTACAAACAATGAATGTTATTTGTGCAAGAATTATTCCCCAAGAAACTTGAACTAAGAAAAACTGGCTTGATATCATCACACACACTTTCTGTTTACATATTTGGCCACGTTTTGAAATAAATTTACCAGTGAAAGGCAGAATTTCTTATTGTGTTGCCTTTTGAGACCTGGAAGTTAAAACCTCTTAAGTGTGTGTAAAGCTCTATTAGAAAGGAGGTAACGTCACAGTAATTAATCATACACCCTTAACACATGTAAAGCACTAACAGTTTCTCAGCTATGAATTGCACATCACTGACCTGACACACAGCTGGACAGAATCAAATTAATGATATTCCATACAAACAAGGCAAAAGTAAATAATGCTATACCTGACACAATACATTTGTGCTTTTTTCTTAGAGTTATTCCCCTTCACACATAGAAAACGTACAGTCTGTTTCATCAACTAGACTGAGTGTCAGTCAAATTGTGTAATCAATCATTTTAATTATCTTATTAAGTCAATTAAATCTAATTAAGAGGGCATATCATTACACATTTCACAACCTTACAAAGTCTCCTCTTTCATATCGATGGTGCTGGCTATATGAAAAATTATCTCCAAATCGTAATATGCACATATTTTTGACACAGTCAGATTTCAGTTCTCCAATAATAATAATCTTTCAATAATGTAATTGCACAGGATTCCATACTTGTGTCAGGTTTTTGCAGCATGTAGTTTTAAGTGCAATACAGATGAATGCTATTTTATGCAACCTGTTGTTCACACAAGAAACTCATCCTCACTTAGTGACTGATCAAGCAACAAGCTGTCAGTACTCTGTAAAGGCAAGTCAGGTACCTGACTAACCTGAGGACAAATTTCTGGTTGTTCACCAACATCATCCAATAGTGGTTTTGAAGTCTGATAGGTGTCCTCTGTGGACAAACAAGTAGCATCTTCAAGTGGTGGTTTCAATGTTCCCTCACTAGTGCCCTCAGCTAGTATTTCAACTGTCTGACCACTTAAATCCACAGCCTGAGGTTTGAATAAATCACAAACAGGATTCTGAGATGGTGCATAAAGGCCTTCATTCTCATATTCAGGGATGAATTCCTCGGAAACTTTCGACGGAAGGTGTATTGTGATGGTCTAAAAAACAACAATCATTTGTTGTAATGATGTCTCAAGAACTGATATTTTAATAAAAAATTTAAAACTTCTACTATAAATTGTAAAACTTGACCTGAAGACATAAACTTTCACTGTATTGTACTTAGCCTTCAATAAACATTTTGGACCTTAAAACATTACTCAAAGCAGGAGATGGGGTTATTGCAGAAAATTAAATAACTTTTATTGGTTATTTTACTGACCAGCAAGAGATGTGGGTAAGGTTTATACCTAGTTAAGGACTTATTACTGGATAAATATAGAATGTCTTCAAAGCAATATTACTTTTTAAATTTTTCATATTTGGTGAACTAGTTTAGGATGTTTATTAACAGATTCAAAGTCTTAACCAAAATAACAATGTGACAATAATACCTTCAACATCAACATTCTCAATCATACTTTTAAGGAAGTTAGTTTGTCTAAGATTTAAGGTCTAAGAATCACACAAGATGCATCCATTATTTTCAATGTTCGCAAAGCAATGTAGATGTCAGTTCATAAATGTGAGGAAAACAGAAAAATGTTGCTCATTCAAATATAATTTAAATATAGTCAGTGTCCAGTATAATCTCTACAGCTTCTCGCAAAACAAAAAACATGTCAAATGTAGGATGCAAATATCAAAGACATTACAACAACACCTTATTCTGAAAGATAAATCAAGCACATTAAGTAAAGGCATGGTTAACACTCTATGACCATGCAAAATTAAAGAGTAAAAATATCTACAACAAAATCTACATACAACACTAAGGGTACAAAATCTTGTTCATGGCTCTGAGGAAACAAATAAAGTAAAAAAATCTACATACAGCACTAAGGGTACAAAACCTCGTTCCTGTCTCTTAGGACACAAATAATGGTACCTTGGTAAAATAGGGATATCTTATATCATTTTTTTCAAGTACATCCTTTTTCCCCCAAAATTTTGGTGGAACTGCAAAAACAAAACTTTAATTCACCAGAAAATGAGCTTCACAGTAACCTTGACTTTCTGCATATATTATGCTCTTTTGATGAATAATTCCCAACTTTATATTTACATAATAAGTACAGTTTTGACCTTGACCTTCATCATCACTTATTTCATCATTTATATCCCTGAAATCCAAGATGGCCATCTAATGGCCTTATATAATATAATGGAAAAATCCAATAGGAACTGGCGTGTCCTCGGCTCGGTTATAACCGGAACAAGGACGTTAAGCTCCAACAAAGAAACAATAGGAACTGAGGACTGATCTGCCCTGTGCTCTCTGATAATCAAATAGAAATAACGTTATTTGGAGAGATCACAGACATGGACAACAAACAGAAAATTACTTCATACCATGGCATAAGCTGCCATGTACCTCACCTGTACAAGAATTCCTGTAACAGGATTTATACTATATTTGAGACTTCTGAAAACTTGTAAATTTCAAACAATTAAAATTTGGAAGCAACTTTATAAAATGTTATTCAAATGTTTCTTTGAATGGCCAATGAAGGCATAGATGTCCAAGTTCTTCTAAATGTACAAGGTTCTTTATTATTAAATTTTGATGACATTGGAAATTGAAGTGAAAATACTGATACTGATGTGTGGACAAACCAGGCAGTTACCATCTATTGATATTTGTAACTATCAATCAAGCATTGTGAGAACATTTTAAACTGTTTGTGAGGTAGAAATAAAGTTTAATATACAGGATACTTTGAACTGTTTGTGAGGTAGAAATGAAGTTTTATATAAAGAACACTTTATAAACTGTTTGTGAGGTAGAAATAGAGGTTTTGATACAGGTTTGTGAGATGTAATGTAATGATACAGAGTTTAAGGGGTTATTACATCTGATACAATAGTTAGTTGTAGCTTAATGATGATAATATGAAGCACTTCTTGGTACGTCTAGTGCAGGCAGGTCACACAGAGGTTAAACAGAGGTCACAGGAAATGTTATATTAGTTCATTCACAGAATGTAAGGACAACAGAGATACATCCAAGCTTATAGTACCTTTGACATAAGTGTCACAGCTTCATAGCTAATACTTCTAAAGCTCTTCATTACCCTACAAATGGAATGGAATAGCTATGTAGGACAAGCACACATGGTTTTCAAGATCAATTGTGTTACTCACACTCTGAATAGTTGGACAATGTCATTTCTGATTAGCATTACAAAGCAATCAATCATGACTAAATTAATGGTGATAGGTCTTATCCCCCACCTCCTCCTCCGATGAAAACAAAGGAAAAACAAGAAAAAATCATCTGGGTGATTGTCATAGTCCCTTTTGTTTGAAGTTTCATGACCATCGCAATCCCTTAAAAAGTCATTGGAAAATATAATATTGTTTAAAACTACAAAGATCCAAGGTCCTGCTACAGAGAATACTTCTATATGTCATTTTAAGTATGTCCTTTAGATATGTATTACTATATAATGCAAGAAGTCTTAAGATACAAAGATAATAAATCGCAAAGGTTATTAACAGGATAAGAATATTGGTAAGCAAACTGTACAAGATGGTGGAAATGTACTGGGAATGAGTCAGGTAGAACAATTTGTGTTTAAGAGTTCTCTGAACTCTATATATAAAATCTAATAGCATATATTAAGGTATGATCTATCACCAACTCTTTTCTCCTAAAACAAATAACAGTTATAACCGAAAAAGAAATAAAAGTTTTAGACTTTTTTCCGGTACCAAAATCAAATCATGTCAAACCAAAGACTAACAAGAATGTAGAGATACGGAATTTGAAACAAAATATCAAGTTCTCTTGGCAACACTAGCTATCACAAAGTTTAATTGTTAACTCCATGTCCAACTCCTTGTTTTTGATAAATGCCTCAAAATTCAAAAAAGAAAAAAAAAACAGCAGTGTTTCGAGCAGGTTAACATTTGCATGAATGATGGCCCATTGATCTTTAAAGACAATTAATTAATTCAAGATTATGATACACTGGTGTGAACAGTGATTTCTTGTACATACTCTTTTTATATCAAAAGTGTGACCCCATAACCTGGCAATTTAAAAAACAAACACAACAAATAGAAAATTGAAATGAATCATGAAAATAAACAAACAATTAAAGAGAGTGCACCTTGAATTTGTTGCCACGCTTAACCACCAATGTTACAGGTCCTGGTTGGAGGGTGCGGAAAACCTGGTATGCATCCAGCAAAGTGATGTCCTGAAGTGACCTTCCTTCTGCTTCCATAATCATGTCACCTTTCCTGAGGACAAGTAATCCAGAAATCTGCCTAAAAAACTTTATCTCTGATACTTATAGATACTTAAAAATATTCATTACATGTAACTTGTTTAATTTGTGTTTTTTCCTCAAATCCCTATGTCATACCTTTAATTTGTACATCATACCTGTAATTTCTACTTTATACCTGTAATTTGTACATCATATTTGTGATTTTAACATAACATCTGTGAATAGCCAATACAGAATGTACATCCTGTTTTTCATATTGGAAATACTTGGTAGTGTCTATTTCAACACTGATCTACTACATCACCATAGCAACTTTTAAATAATGACCCACCTGAGTCTAGCATCCTTATCTGCCACTGACCCCTGAGCTATGTCCTGGATGTAGATGTGACTGACTCCGTTAGTGTCCCTCCTTAGTAGTGATACACCAAGTCCTATACCATACTCTGTAAAAGAATCAGATTATCTCCCTTATATCACACATGGTCCCTACTATCTTTTGCTAGGTATATCACCTCTCAAAAGTTTGTGATTTATTTTTTACTTATATAATCTAATAAAAAAAATTTTTTCTTTTTTTTTCTCTTAAATAATTTGATAAACTGTTCTTATTCTTTACAGTATCAACAGGGTGACTACCTACTCTCCTAGAATAAATGTGCAGGATCCTACCTTTCTGTAAGGTGACATAATCCAGTTCTGTACAAGTTTCGGAGTTTTTATTGCTGTGGAGGTCCTTTTTCTTATCTTCATTATTATTCCTGTTACCACCCAAACATTTGTAAGAGTCCACGTGACCAGGAGGCCTAAGAAGAAACCCACTAGAATTGTCACTGTGACCACTAACAGCCGAGCTGGTCCCTGTCTGATTAATATCTATCTTGGATAAGTCACTGAAACTTCCATAAGGCGAATGACCCGGTGTGGACACCGGACTTCCGTCGGATGAGAAATCAATGGGAGTCACACATCCAGACCTCATGGATGGACTGTAAAGACAACCAAAGGACAGGTCAATTTCACTTGAAAATAAATATATTGTACTGAAGAAACAAATTCACTATTACAATTGATCAGTTACTAAATTTATTCTTTAATGAGCCTGCATGTCCAAAGCACATTCTGACTATGGGCTTGAGTTCATTACAGGATAATGATATATACTGCATACACAACTCTTAATAACAATATATGTAGAGATACGAAGAAGTTTACTATACGCTTCTGAACAGAACTTCTGGAAATACTTCAATTTTACACTGTAGGACCCATTCTTTATAGCTAAAAGACACAAGAAAATAAATTGTAAATTGATCCCTGCTTCATCCACATACACAGAAACAGAAATCCATGATGTATGCTTCCTCAATACAACTTTTTATACATCACTTGTTTAATAGTCCCTAGGGGAAATTGTTGTATATACTTCCATCACCTTGTTGGTCTAGATCCAATCCTGTGACGGTACATCAATGTTACTGGACCTTTCTTAAGCTTACGAAATTTGCCCAGAGCATCCTTGTGACTAAGCCCTGATAAAGAGTCTCCGTTCACCTCTAGTATCTCATCTCCTGCAAAAAATAGCAAGTTGTGTTTAAAATAAATTTCAAGTAAGAAATATGTCATATTTAATTTAGCTTAACTGATAATATCAGGCAGTCAATCGATTTTGGGGCCTGGTACAATCAAAGATAACAGGGTACATGTTGTGAAAATCAGAATCTAGTGTTACAGGTCTGTCTCTAAAATAAATATTAAATGTAAGAAAAGAAAAAAGATTAGAATAATATACAAATGACCAACCTTCCTTTATGGAACCATCTTCATACATGAGGCCCTGAGGTAGTATCCTTCTAACAAATATTCCGATGTTGCCTTTCTCCGAGTCACTCCCACCAACAATGGTGAAGCCAAGCCCCTTTCCTCTGGACCCCTTGTTGATGGTTACTGTCTGGGGAGCATCAAATCGCCACTTCTTTGTTCTAATCACCTTACTTTCCAATAGATCTCCTTTGTCAGAGCTATCGGTGCAAAGCCCATCAGTTTTGAATTTCTGCAAAATATGATTATCTATCAAATGTACTGAAACATGTTGCATCACGACAAAGATACCCTAAAAAGATTCTTGTTTTTAATGGTTCTAATGGGCTGAATTTTATCAAAAACTTCAAGCAAAAAAGTGCTACTTTTTTTTTTGGTGATTTTATTTCATTCTCAATGACTTATAACAAAATTATATTTCCATGTATCACTGCTGAACTTTACTGGATGATACAGAAATAGATCATCTTCAAGTTTTCCATTTCGTATTAGATTTACGAAAGCCTTTCATTTACACAGCTTACGACAAAGTAAAATGGAAACGTCTAGAGGAGTTCCATAAATCCAATATGGAATGGAAAAGAATGTAAGATTCTGTTTATCACACAACTTTGATATTTTTTGAAAACAAATAAAAACAGCATTTAATTGGTCTGTAATAAAATCTAAGTACTCAGTACTGTATATATCATACTACAGGCTAACATAACCCCTAACTCAAAGCCAGATGGACAAACTTATTCTACTAAGACATTGAAGAAGTATAAATTCTATTGGTAATGCTACTGAACATAAACAGATGTCAGTGAGCTTATTTCAGACATGAACTTATTTCCAGAGAAATATTGGATACCTCAAAGAGTTCCTCCCACTTAATGAAAGTTCCATGAGGTGTCTGAGCGGTCAGCTCTGGCACTGTCTTATCACTACTGTTACTCTCGCAACTAAACTGGTCTGTCTGGTCACAATTTGTAGCATCGAATGATTGGCTGGTGGTGAGCATGGAGTTGGGACAGGGCGTCAGACTAGAGTAGGAACATGACACAGAAGAGGCGATGGAAGCAGCCTTCCGTACCTGTATCATATTGTACAAGATGGAGAGGTAAGGGAAGATCTTTCATCCAATGGTAAAAATCCATGACAACATTTTATAAATGTATATAAATTCAAAACAATTTGTTATTCTAAAGATGAAGTATTCTAAAAATGTTTTGAAACAAAAACATGAAAACAGATATTGATATCATTATAATCAATTTATAAACAAAAATTGTAAATAGGTATGCTCAAATTTCATTTACTCATATTCACTCAAGCTTCAAGTTCTACACTATTAGAACATTCAACAGTTTTACCGCTCTTGTCACAATCTGATCCTAACTTTTATGTTTTTGGAGAAATTGTATTTAAGCCATTAGACCTTAGTCTCACCTTGGTAGCTACAACAAGCTGAACCAGCTTAGGAGAGTTACGGAAGACATCCACAGCTTCTGTGTGGGTCAAGCCAATCAGGGATTTACCATTGATCATCAGCAACTCGTCACCTTTCTTCAGTCGACCGTCCCTGGAAACAAAGACCTACTATATACAGTTAGTTCATGGAAATACAGGGAATGAAAAACCCAGTTTCAATTCAGATGAAAAATCAAAGGGTCTTGAGACAAAGGATAAAACCTCCATAAAATGATGGGGGAGGGGGTGTTGCCTTATACAATTATGAAGTAGAACACAGCAGGAATTAAGTGACTTGCCACTATGTAGAACTCACTTGTATGCAGCCCCTGTTTCCATGGTTCCAGCCACAAAGATGCCAATGTCACCCTTCTTTGAGCCTTTACCACCAGCTATGTGGATTCCCAGACCATTCTCATCCTTCAGAAGATGCATCTTGCTTACAACTCTCTTCTGTAAGAAGATAACATATTTGTTACAATGGAAGGTAGTACAGTAGTAGTCTTTGATCATTGTCCTTGTTAGGAAGTGATCTGATTTCAAACATCAGTTAATGTTCCTCTGGAAAGCTATCATTGCAGTGATCAAGCTCCTAATGAATACATCAATAAGATGAGAGATTCTATTGAGAGTAACCTGATATTGTCACTGAATTGCTGGAAAAAATCTAGGTTTCCAATAATGAAATGATCAATAAAATAAAGAATATATATAACATACATCAATTTTCAAATACAAAAAAATTATACAAGAATATGATAATATTTAAATTCTTTTTATTTATATATTTGAAAAGATAAAAATATTTAAAGCTGTGTACTGTACATATTTCTGTGCCAAATATTTTTTTTATTTTAAGTTCAAAACACATGGACAATGATGAAAATATAAGATGTTACACATGTCATTTTAAGTGTCTTAGTCAAGAGATACTTGTCTATGCAATGAATCATTTTACAAGTTAAACAAGCACATGCAGAATGTTCTGTATCTCACAGTTAGAAAGGTCTAATGAGTTTGACTCCCAATAATTAGACTACGTACAGTAATGTGATCCTGTCCTTAATATCTGTGACCTACTCTTACTACACTGCCTCAAACCTTTCGTTTTACTTCTGGGTTGTTGTACATAATGAAATTTAGGGTCAGTTAATAAATATTTTTTCTAAATTTAATTATAACAGATTTGTACTAGTTTTATCTCACAATGGTTATTCATTATCTATTACAGTGGATGAATTTTATTTTGGTGGTGTGGCAGGACACATCGTTTGATGAGGCTCAAATGGTATTTTGCAATTTTGGGGTTTTTTTCTTATAATTTTGATGGGTAGTGACATTTAAATGAAAATAAATCTTTCTCAAATGCAGGTAATGAGTTATTTTCCTGTGTCTTGTATAGTTAAACAACATGATAAAAGAACATGATTGGCAAATTAAGTGGTCTGAGGCCGGTATAGAAGGGAGTATCTGTCCTTGTTATTCCCATGTGGCCCTAAAAATAGACACATGCCAGATGGTTTACTCTTCCTGTGTGTTTTTGCATGGTACCAGTGTCAGAATACATTTCAAGTATGTTTGATGAATTTTAGGTGAATAACTGGATTGTTTGAATCATTTGGACTCAAAAATTACTTATTTTAATGACTATTTCAATTGTGGTTACTCGTTTCTAATTTCATAGGACATGGTTTTTGTAGATTTTTGTTTCATAATGCATTGGTCCCATGGAGGCTGAGGTATATTTCAAACATTTTCTAGTGTACTTGAACATTATTGGGGAAGTATGAATACAGGGGAAAATCTGATAGCCTCATGGATTATGTCCTACACATTTGTATCTTTAAACTTGAAACAAGAGGTCCAATGGGTCTGTATTGCTCACCTGGTATTAAATATCCATAAAAAATAGTATTTATAACAAATATATCAACATGTTAACCATTGACATTCAATGTGGACACAATCAATCAATAATAGCCAATTTCTATAACAAACATCTTCTAATACTCTTCTACTCTTAGACAGTCAAATACCATACTCCTGCACATTTTAGTAGTGAAAATAAGTTGTTCAAAGGTTTTACGAATTTGTCCCCTGTGACCTTGAGTAAGGGTCAAGACTGCTTCTTTTCTCAAAATATGTCAGGCTTCATAAAAGGAGCATACTTTATATAGAAAAAGTAGACAATTTTATAAGATTCTTGTACACATTTTGGTGATATTTTAAACAAATGTATCTTTAATACATTATTTGAAAAAAAAAAAATTAAGTGGCCATTCTGTTTCCGCGTCACGTTGATCTTGGTTTTAGGTTCAATTTGAGGCAAAAGTGAGACATGCCGAAGTGCATTAAAGTTGATTTAAATTCTGATCATGTTCCAGTATTTATATATTAAAAAAAGTAACAATATATTTTGACTTTATATTATTGTAGTAATAGCTTTTGGAAATTAGTTTAGTTCCACGTTATAGGCAGTTAGAATAAAATATGTCATCAGAAATTCTAAAATCTCTCATTGTAAGTTTAAAAAATGTATAAAATTATAAAACGAAACATATCATTTACATAGTTTAACATTGCTGAAGTTTTCATGAATACTTAGTATGCAGAATCAGCTCCAGTTTTAGAGGTTTGTTCTCTTTATGCTCTCTAAAATATCTCTTATAGTGAAGAAATTCTATCTTGACATAATTTTCATGTCTGTTGGTGTGGCCGGATATGTTGAGGCTCGAGTAGTGATATTTTGTGATGGTGAGTATTTCCTTATTATTATGAGGGATAGTGGCATTTGAATAAGACTTTCTGTCTTAAATGCAAGTCACCATGAGGTAAATTCGATCTGTAGGTTCACCTTGAATTCAATTCAATTAAAATTTTATTCCGATGGCCTTACGGCCCATAGGTATACTTCTATGGCACGATGTATGAAATAAAATAAGGGCAGATTGGCATTAGAAAGCAAAATGAGTAAAAAAAAAAAAAACTCCGAAACAAACTTGAGTGGCTAAAAGTCAATGATATGAGAGCACTCATTTGATACACATCAGCCAACAAGGGCACCATAAAGGAAAGAGGAAGGGAGATCACTATATTTTTCTGTCATAATGGAACTGTAGGGAGGGTGGTATTTTAAAATATTTTGTTTTTGGGCTACAAAAATGGGTCAGGTACTGTATTTTAAAGAAAATTAAGTTATGATAAGTATTACATCATGAAAATTGGTTTTACTTGAAAAAACCTCAAATCCTTTGCAAAGTGATATAATATACTGATATTAATTTTCGTTTTCCTTGAGTAGAACATGTACACAAATAAACTGTGGTCTTTAGCCTATAATGAATAGCATAGGCAAGGAGTAATAATTCCACTATCATCATCTGAAGCAATTACCTGATAACCTAATGAAGCATATTTATATGTGTGAGAGTAAATAGGGTACAGTAATTATCAGGCATTAAGGTATTAGGAGTGTAATTAAGAACTTCCTGTCAAAATCCCATTGTTCACCAATGTTTCTAACCTCAGCAATCTTTGGTTTGAAGAAAGGCATAGTTGACTGTTAACCCTAGAGCAAGCCTAAGACGGACATACAAATGTATGGGCACATAACATCGCAAACTGTCACTTGTCATTCAAAACAGAAAAAGAAGGAACTCATTTGCCCTGAATACCTTGATCCAGAAATATGCAAGCCTGGACTTAGATGCAAACAGGAGCAACAGTCAGTAGTAGATTTTCATATTCTACTATTGGCATAATCCGTGTCACATGCCATGATGTCTAACACAATATATCACTTTGGCAGAAGCAGGCCCACTCTCTAAACACAATGTTTTCAAATTAAGTTAGTTTAAAGTGTTTAAAGGATTCATTTTGTGGTATATAATCTGAATTAGGTGTTCCCAATTGTGAAAAGGACAAAACTTTCTTGACTGTTGCCTAGGCAACAAATGCCACAATTTTCAAGTGGTGTCCTCAGCCATGTTCAAGCAAATATTATGGCTCATGCAAAAAGTCTTCATATTTACATGTGTGGGATGGATCACTTAAATCTCTGACATAAATATGCTAAATTGATTTTTTTTCTCTTTTTAAATAGCACAAATTCAGTTCAAAATAGATGCAAAAATTTGAAAATAGCAAACTTTTCTTTCAACACCATGTTGATTTATCAGTTTATGTTGCTCAGTGCTGTGCACCCCCTCTGTTATTGTGCATTTATCAGAGACCAGTATGACAGTAACAGAGCTTGTCAGCTTAAAAGAATAGTGGATAGAATTACAATATGTCTTGTTTTCCATATGATTTATACATACACGTCATGGAACTTATCATTGCTGTACTTTTTTTAGTTAATCCATCCATAATGTGTTTTCTCAGGCATGCATTATTGAATTTACAGTATCTCAATTTTTGTTAAAAAAGTGAGATCATTAATTTAGCAAGGTCAGGCCATTTTGACCTCAACTAATTACTGTTACAAAGATTAAACTTATTTAATAAGTTTGGAAAATAATACATTCAGTGAATGCCATCTGGATTTGAGTAGTGTCACTCTTAATGGTATACCTTCTCAGTTTTTTTAAGTAGAATTAAGGGCATGAGGATAAAGCAATACATATACCTATATATTTTAATCCTGTGAACAAAAACTCATTAAACTTTGACAAGATGCCTCAAAGGTAAAGAATCTCAAATACTTATGCTTTATTGATATTTGGATTTCTTTCCATTACACCTCTAATACCTTAAGCCCACCTTCATATATATATTTGTTAATGAAAATCACACACCATTGCTATCTAACTGTCCTGTAATAAGCCCTACACCCACTTTGAGCAAGAAGTAATTAATTGGCCCCTTGGTCCTTTTACAGAATAAATACAGCACATTTTTAATTTCTTCCTTAAAATCATAGACCTGTGATTATTTTTCCATCCTCTTACTTTCTGCTGTGACATTGAATCTTCTTACCTTGCCAGCTGCAGGAGATGAGTTTGAGAATCCGCTGTCTGACCTGGAACTGCAGCACGACGTTGGTGTTTGGGACCGCTCATTATAACGCCACATGGATTTTTTACTTTTCTTCTGGTAACTTCTATGGATATTAACCAATTCTGGATCTGATTTGTAACTGGATATATCACTTTTAAAGTTGGAATTCTTATTCAAGGGAGATAATCCCTTACCTCTGCGTCGCCTTGCCATTTCTGCAGTATTAACATAATCCACTTCATCACTAGCAATGTCTATATTAACAGTTTTCCATTGTAACACATCCTCAATAGCTGACGTACTTTGTGTCCGGAATTTCTCTACAGGTTCAGTTTTCACAAAATCTGCCTGACATCTACCATTATTTATTGTTTTACTATCACAAATATTGGTTGAAAGTTTAGATTGAAATTTTGGCGTCCCTATTGAATCCCCTACAGCTTCAGAAAACACATCATCCATTGAACCTGTTATTTCATCAGCTGAATCACACATGGAATTCAAAGTATATGTACTGCCATTGTTGCTATGGATGTTGCCTTGGTGACCATTTAAGTACACCACCTTAGAGAGTTCCTGGGGAATACAGTCAGTGGAATGTGACATCGGAGTACTATAACAACTTGTCCCATTGTCCAAACAAGAGGAAGCTGTTGGTGTGGAGCTACGGTGTGAGGACACATTCTTGTCATCAGGATAATCGGGTGGCGGTGGAGCAGGGCGTTTCTTCCTCCTTCGTAACGTCATGACTACTTTACCTGACCTCACAGCATTTGCCAAAAGTAACCTGGAAAAGAACATAAGCACTTATTACTAAGAGAATAAAAATAGCAAAAAGTTCAATTTCAACTTTTAGTACCCATATAACTACTCAATACTCCATTTCAGTCATAATTGCAAGAACTGAATATAGTAAAATATCTCAAAGATCTATAACTCACTCCACAATTAAATTTGACTGTTATCATTGCCAAAGATATCCAATACAAAAATTATTTGTACTGAAGATCTTATCTTAATTAAGGAGTCTTGCTCCTTCACCTACACAATGATTTTATGTAAATTGTGGCCTTCATGGTAATCCGAAAATAAAGACCTATAAGTGATAGAGGCCTGAATTGCTCACCCATTCTATACCTTACAAAGAAGACTTTGCATTTCATAAATTTCCACAAACTTGAAATCATGTTCCTAAAACATGCCAGTACAAAAAAAACAGTATCCACAACCTAATGCTTATTGAAAGAAAACATTACTAGTTCTCAGTACATTTGACCCCAGTGACCTTGAAAATTTGTTAAGGTCATTCATTTGAATACATATAGATAGTCCTTCTTCCAAGCATGCTACATTAATATCAGTGCCCTGGGCATTTTGGTTATTGAGATGAAGTTGTTTAAGTGGAAAGTTTTTGCATGGCTCATGGCCAATAATGCACGATGACAGATGAAACATGATGGCTGCTCAGATGACTTAAAACTCCCTAATACTTGATACAAAAGGAGAAAAAATCACCCTCATTTCCCTACACAGTCCTGCCTTTCTATCTTTAGTTTTCCCTATGACTGAAAGGATGACAAAAGACTAAATTTTGTTAGTATCTCTAGTACTGCTGGAAGGAATTCCAATTTTGATTTTTCCTATTTGGCTGGCTTAGTAACCCATCGTTACCAGAAGATTTCAGAGTGACACTGTTAACTTAACAGATGTGTCTGCATGGATTTTCTAGGACTATACCAGGACTAAATTATTAAAATGAAACCCCATGCCCATACCTCTATACTATGAGATTATATTCTGCTAAGTCTCCAGTGCGTCCACATCTCTGTCCCATGATAGGGTAACACTAAGTTAAGTCCTTTTCGAGGCCACACCGTAAGAGAGTGACAAAAAATTGAATCCCCTACACAACTGAGTCCCCTTCAAGTTAACTCCTCAGGGCTACAAGAGGGTGACAGCTAAGTCCCTAATTCAGATCTATACTTCTTCTCCAGGTAAGGGCAATACTATTGTAAGTCCCCCAATAAGCCCACACCTCTGCCAATCTGTGGAATCCTCATCAAATGTTAAATACATCATCCAGTAGTATTTACCTTTTCAGAAAAAAAAATGCTGTGTAGCTTAACAATTACTTAAGCATGCTTAAATTAAAATATGTTTGTCCTATTGGAATTAGTGCACTTGTCCCATTAGAACTGTCTACTGGAAAGGAACTGTTGAGCACGTCTTATTGTTAAGCCTTGTGCCCAACTTCATTCTTTCCTTCATGACGTAATTTTACAGAAACACAATGAAATACACCTAGAAGGATATATTTAATCAATATTTCATTTCCCTGACAGAAACTGGAAAGGATTCTTGCACAGAACGTGTAAACAAGCAGACAAAAGCTATGTAGTATGTCTTATTGTGAGTCAGATATAATACAAAAAGAAGACATCTAATGAATTCAAGCTAACAACATATATTGCTGCAGGGGTGTTCTCTCTACAGATCACACGCAACAGGACATACTGTAGTTATCCAGCAAAAACCAAAGGAGGCAACACAAACCTCACTCAAAATTAGAGGTGGGCTTATTACCAGACACTGAAAACAGCATTTGTTTTGAAAATTCTTCAGAGCAGCAATTAAAATGGGTGGGCTTATTACCAGGCATGGGCTTTTTGCCAGATTAATACGGTATGCTGTATTTGAAGCTTTTACATGAATATCAAAGAATGAAAACTTGCAAGTTCCTTTGTTTTTAAGCAACAACAAATTACGGAAAATCATGTACACACAGCACACATCCAATTTTACACTGCTGAATGCATATTGGTCTTTGATGGTTTCTCTTCATGTTAATGAAATATTCCTCAACTCAGATTTGGTCAATTAAATATTATGTGTGTTACACTACATAAATCTACACTTCTTAACAACAAAGTAACAATATGGTAAATGTCTGCAACTTTGAGAATTTTTATTTTTAGATTGGTTGGGAAACCTGATCATGATGGATGAATGCAGTGTTTAAATCTTCACTTTATATTGTAATCAGAATCAGTTTATTTCCAGGTGAAATATCTCACAAATACAAAACATGCTTAATGTGAAAATACACAAATCTTTTTCAATCGAAGTTTAAGAACATTTACAGCAAATTGGCAAAGAAAAAGATTTTTTAGCTTGTTTTAACCCATTTTCTGAGAGACTTCTTGGATTAAAGACATATGAAACATTTGAAGATGCCAGTAAATATATCACAGATCACTAACATACCATACATAACACCAAGGAGCAAGCTATAAATATAATTATGGAGAGTTTTAGGGACAAACACAGTGTCAGTATAGAGTGACCATAGGGGCCAGCTTATTGTCAGAATAGAGGGACTAAAGGGGCCAACACACTAAGTAAACAGGGAATAAAGGGGCCAACACACTGTAAGTATACAGGGAATAAAGGGGCCAACACACTGTCAGTACAGAGGGACTATAGGGGCCAACACAGTCAGTAAACAGGGAATAAAGGGGCCAACACACTGTCAGTACAGAGGGACTATAGGGACCAACACACTAAGTAAACAGGGAATAAAGGGGCCAACACACTGTAAGTATACAGGGAATAAAGGGGCCAACACACTGTCAGTACAGAGGGACTATAGGGGCCAACACAGTCAGTATACAACGCCTATAGGGGCCAACACATTGTCAGTATACACAGCCTTAAGGGGCCAACACATTGTCAGTATACACAGCCTTAAGGGACCAACACATTGTCAGTAAAGAGAGACTATAGGGGCCAACACATTTTAAGTAGAGAAAGACTATAAGGCCAACACATTGTCAGTATAGAAAGACTATATGGGTCACACATTCACAGTATAGAGGGACTGTAGGGGCAACACACTGTCAGTACACAAGGCCTATAGGGGCCAACACAGTGAGTATAGAGGGACTGTAGGGGCCAACATATTATCAGTATGGAGGGACTATAGGGGCCAACACATTTTAAGTAGAGAAAGACTATAAGGCCATCACATTGGCAGTATAGAAAGACTATATGGGCCACACATTCACAGTATAGAGGGACTGTAGGGGCAACACACTGTCAGTACACAAGGCCTATAGGGGCCAACACAGTGAGTATAGAGGGACTGTAGGGGCCAACATATTATCAGTATGGAGGGACTATAGGAGCCAACACACTGGCAGTACACACGGAATATTGGGGCCTACACAGTCAGTATACAGGGCCTGTAATGGCCAACACACTGGCAGTAAAGAGGGTCTATATTGGCAAAAACACTGTCGGTAGAGAGAATATACAGAGCAAACACTCCATCAGTATATAAGGGAATTATAGTGTCTGCTTATTGTCAGTATAAAGGGAATATAGAGGTAAGTACATTGTTAGTGTAGATAGAGTTTTATCTAAGCAATGTGTTTCCATACTTTATATCTAATTTCTGTTGTTTTCTTTTTCAAGAGTTTCTTTGCAAAAAAGGAGTTTGAAGTTATGTAAGTATGTTACTCACAGTTACAGAGAGGACACTATTACAAACATATACATCCTCCTCCTTAAAATCTAAATAGAAGGTCTGTATCCTTTTCAATTTTCCTCACTTTAATTCTAAACAGACTTCAACCTCACATCCTGGGGTCCTTGAAAGAAGTATTTTTTTGCACTTTAAATTGAATTAAATACTGGCTCCTCGCAGCACAGTTCAAAAGAGTCCATCAAACGAAACATCTATAGAGTTCAGAAAACATAAATGGATAAATTCTGAAACAACTTTTTATGAAAGAAATTCTGAATTAGTTGAGTGATGCAGATTCTGGGCCAGCTACAGTAAGTTACAATATGGCTACATCAGCACAAGAAACTTCTCAAAGCTAACATAACCAGTTATTTGAAATTTATTTGAACCCGTGTTTCCCGTCTGTTTCATTCAGTGACCCGTTTTTTATTATAAAAAGATTATGCTATGTAAGTTTAGCACTATTATACCAATGTCCTATTGGACCCATTGAATACAAACTTTTGTCAGCCAGTAAGTTTTAAGGTTAATCTTATATATACACTGTATATTGGGAAAAATTTGTCATGGGTTTTTCTGGTCTTACAAAAAGTCATGTTCATTTGTTATCCAGTATTAAATTAGGTCTCAAGAACATGAGATTAAGCCCACTTTTTGCCCTATTTAGTGCTTTATAGATGTGTAAGTTTTGATGAACATCCCTGAAGGAATGAAGCCCCTAGAGCACTGATCTTGTCCAAGATATTATGGTCACTGCAATGACCGATTTTGGTTTTTAATATATATGTATGTATGTATGTGTGTACAAACACACAAGAAAGACGGATGGAGAGAAAAATATAGTTCCCCCTTACTTTGAAAAGGTGTCAATCAAAAACTGAAAACTAAAATTTTGTGAAAATTTTTTTTTCATGTTCCCAAGGTTATAGAAACTAATGTGTAGTCCTCATTGAATTATTGAAACTAACAGATGTGTACTCTTAATCATCTGATAGTGTGACCTTGCCAACAAGATTTGACTGGAGGTCACTGAGGTAGATGGATTGTATATCCCAACGCCTTGATATGTACAACCTGTGCATTCATAAATGGCCGTATAATAATGAATAAAGCACAGAGCGGTCCACAAAGCAGAGGATTGCTGAGTATGATCAACCAATCCCATGCCATACAGTGAAACATTCCAACAAGTTATCAGGTGTATCTTCAGATATATATTTGAAATCTGAGTAAGTCATCTACAAAATAATTCACATTTGTAC